GTTCATGTTATCTAAAGTATTCTCATCAGCTAATGCAGCGAACAATAGTGACTTAGTTTGGATACAGTTGTCCTGAGACTGAGTGCATCCATAAGAATATTGTTTTGGTTGTATTGCTTCTGAAACTCAATACAGACGAGTGAGAGTGAGAGCTGCATGTCTGTGCCGTTCTTTCACCTCTCCTCACTATTTCCCCTGTTTAAGGGCACAACACTGGCGCCGAAGGGGTATCCGCATGATGTGATGGTGTTTTTTACTTTAGTGCGAACAACTCATATGAATTTCAAAGCTGTTCTAACAGTCCGACACTGGTCTCTCAATCTCCCGTTGGAGAGCCGTGAGCTTCTCCATGATGTTATCAAACTTACGCTCCGTGATGTTGTCATTCTTGTGCTCAAAGAGCCGATTCTGAGAACTATATAGTAATGGTGATGCTATTTCCTGGAGAAATATCTGGTGAATTGATTGGACAGGTGGCAGAGAAGAGGCACAAAGAAGTTGTGGGAATAAAGAAAATATTTTACTGCTACATATAGCTTTCATCATTATCATTGCATTAAAAGTTCATTAAAAGCTACTGGCATTAGATTAAAACTTTTATTACTGGTGCGGCCATAATCATTTTATACACACATTGCATGTTGTGCTCATCAAAGAGTTGATGCTCAGTCTATTTAAAGGTCTTAAGCTTCGTTTGGCTTGATGTCCCGACGATCTATAGCGTAAGTGACTCGGGGCAACACAAGGTTAAAACGCATACACGCTTACAAACACAAAGGCCTGGAATTCATTTTGCTTCTAACTGCATTTGAGTTTGCCTAGTAACAGGTGACAGAAGAAGAGTCGAGAAGAGTACAAACCCTCAGGGACCATCTGGAATGTGAAACAAATTGCCATGTATGGAAGAATGTGATTGAAAGAGGAACTTCTTTGTCTGTTTTTAGCTTTTAATTGACCATTTACTGTAACTGATGCATGTCATATTCATCAGTCACGCATGAAGGGGCGGAACCCTGATGAAATAAAAGCAGTCTGAAGGCTATTTTTGGGCGAAGATCTATGCTGATGTGTTGCAGTGTACATCTTCCCACACGTGCGTTCAATAAAATCATTGTTTGACGGCCCTCTTCTGGGCCAGTGTTGTTTTGTTCTTATCCTCAATATTTAGAATCCGGGACAAAGTCTAATAAGGAAAAATCGTCACGCTTTTGTTTCATTTGAATGATTTATGGTGACTTCAATGCAAACACCTCTATGATATTGTTAACTATGAAAACACATCTTATGTGTTATGTATATTAATGTGTAAATGAATAATTATGTTCTCTTTTTGTCCTGGTTACTTGGATGAAGAAGTCACACATTCGTGAAAAGGAATTTCATCTTAATCTATTCAATTCAATTCAATTCAATTTTATTTATATAGCGCCAAATCACAACAAAAGTCGCCTCAAGGCGCTTCATAGATACAGAGAAAAGCCCAACAATCA